AGTGACAACAAATGGGCTGTATTTAGCCTTTTAAATTTTTTTTACAACTGTTTTACCATATGCAATGCTCTTGACAAACAGTCAGGAAAGAAAAGTATACTGAAAAATAGAAATTTGAAAAAAAGGTCCCCAGCCAGACTCTGATCAGGGGCGCTGTGACTACAGTGTACACATCAGCACAATACGCAATTGTTCTCATGTTCTTACCCAAATCTTGTGTCTACTGGTTTCTTATTTCCTTTGTGTTTACCTGTCTTATTTCTGCCTCTAATGAGGAGGGGCTTCACTTTGAGGTCTGTGACATAAGCTCTTTTATTTTAGAAGCTTCTCTGCTCCAACTTTCTGTACATGAGAGGAATGGAGGCTCCTCTGATCAGCACTATTATTTGAACATTTCGTGTATTGTATCGAATAGAAATTCAATTAATACTTTTAATAGGAACATTTATTTGAAGGTCTTTGTGAGGTCCTATGGGCAGCAGTGTACTCTTCATAAAGGAAGGTATAGTAATTACCTCCCTTTTTCCTGCCCCTTGATTACCCAATCTTCCTTCCGTCTCTCTTCCACTTTTCGTCTATTATCTCTCCCCCTCTCACCCCACTCACCCTACTGCCTCCAGTACAGCTTTCTCTCATCTTCTCTTCCTCCTTTCAACTCTTATCTCTTGGTTAACCCTTTATTTTCCCCTCGGTTCATTCATCGTGTTGGCTCTCATTTCGCGTTGCTTCCTTGCTTCCTTTGTTTCCACATTCTGCTGATACAGTACATCCATCTTTATGATCTACTTTTGTCTCTGGTGTTGAGCAACAGCGGCATAGGGTGCACAGTCGCACACACTGTGCCAACAAGCCACCCATTTATGTAGAGCTCTAGTTTTCTGAGGATGATTTCCTCTTCCATTTGCATTTGTGCACATGCTTGTACATTGTCAGAGAGGTTTCCTTTATTGTTACTTGTTGATGTTATGAACCTTGTCTAGGTCTTAGCATAGTCTATGGAAGGATCATTCCATCCCACTGCGACATCACTGTAAACAAATAAATTCTACTAGGCAGTTAATATGACATGACTTATAGAGTTCGATGCATAACACAGTAATGCAGTGTCTCAGAATACAACTTGTCAATGTCCCCACAATTAAACGGTTTCACGAGCTTCTGTCACAGGGGACGACCCTCAATATTTTTATCTCACTTCCGAGGTGGACAAGCTGACAATCTCCAGCAGTAATTTTATTTACAGGAAATCTTGTTGTTTCTTGATTTCTTTGTTCATATTACTGTCATATCCGATTTTTATCCAGGGCAGTACTAGATCCAGTTTTAGCCTCTTTCTCCAGCTAAATCAATTAGTCCTCCCTAATGTACAGTCTAATGTTGTAATGGCTGCAGAAGTTCCTCAGGAAATAGCCAGAGATGCTATGCATATTGTAGCCAGTGACACTTGTAACCTTTTTAAAGAAGGAGCTGCTACAAAAATGGTTTATCATGGTGGTTGTGACTACAGAAATGGCAATGTCTGCCTGTAGTTCACTCAGGCTACATCCATACTAATATATTTTTGTTTTAAAATGGTTTCAAAACTAAAACATCAAAACAACTCTCTCCGTCTATAGTTTCACACCTGAAAAGCTGTATCATATGACCATGTGATCAGGAAGCAAATCCAAGTGGCTGTGTCACTATTTCCTAGGGTTCCAGTATTTTGCCCTTCCAGACTACAGTGCTGCCCTAGTGACCCTAGGTTGTTTCCAAACTTCTCTATTTCAGGCACTCAAAAACTCTGGGAGAAATCCTTATGTCTTGGTGCTGATCCCTTTAGTTTTCATCTAGCACCAGCATATTAGCAGATGTTATCATGCTTAATAGGACTGTGAACACTGTAAACCTTAACTAAACATCAGCCTGTTAGTCATTGTGGGGATGTTATTATGCTGACATAAGCATTTAGCTATGCCTAACAACAGCTTCACAGAGTGGTTAGCATGGCTGTAGACTCTTCTGTTGTAGTTCTTCAGTTTCAGAGGTGATCCTATGGACAACTGCTGCACGGTATATTTTTTTAACAGTGCCGGCTTTGTCTAGTCAGCCGCTGCAGCCTTTCTTTTTCTTTTCTCTTTCATTCAAACTTGTCTCGATTTTTGTTTCATTCCCGGGGCTCAGTACCAGGATGTCAAGGATGAATACCTTAAATGCATCACTAATGGCTTTATGCTACATGTCATGAAAGCCATTTTGGAAAGAGCCCATTTCCATGCTTTGATGTGTGCTCTTTCTGCAGAACGGCTCTTATATTAGACTCCCTTTAAAAAACGTCACAGCTCTGCTGCCTCTACCACCACCCAATTTGTTTGGGATAAATGTAAGACCTTGAGCCAGAAATTGAACCTGCCATCCATGAGTAAACTGCGTTAGCTGTTGGCCGCTGTTAGACTTACTGAAGACATCTTTGAATGTAAATGAAATGCTACGTGAGCCTGATGGATTAATATGTATTTACACTGCCGAGTGCAAGCACACAAGAATGAGGAATGACTTCAGTTATGCTCATTTTTATAGTCTGTTTTATAGTCACCTAAGCACCTCAGTCTAATATGCTCTTGCTTTTGAGGAGTCTATTTATGAGATTGTTTCAGTTCATTTCATGTCTGCTTCTGAGTGGAAATTAAATCCAAGAAGAGCTGCAGGTATTAGGAGGAAACTGTGCTGTGTCTACGACGAGTGTGTGTGCGCTAGTGTGCTTCAATTTCATTACAGTTAAAATATAACAGGTGTAAAGACACCTAAACACAACTCGAGGACGGAGCTAGATTCTCGTCTCTCCACTTTCCAGCAGAGCAGAGTCACGCTGTGTGCTGCAGTGCTCTCCGGCTCCTGCATGAGCATGAGATGAGGCTCCATGTATGAATAATGCCTTCCCTTGTGATTCCCTCGCTCCCTATAATTCACTCCCTGCTCTGTCCCAGCATGGTAAGAATCCCATCTAGAGTGATCAGCACGTCTCTGTGAATGAGAAATGTAGAAAGTAATTCTTCTACAATATTGAGAGTTGCACAGTTGTTCCATGTAATGACTCTAGGAAAGTTTTTTCCTTTTTTACCATCAAATAAACAAGAGGACGAGATCTCCTGACAAGGTTGATCCCATTTGTGATAGTTAATCTAATAGTCAAGTGTTAATCATGTCCTCCTCATGACAACCGCCCTGTACTGTTAACTCTTAGCTGATTCTCATCTGACTATATCACAACTTGAAAAACACAAACAATCTCATAGGCATCAATACATTTCTTACAGACAGTTAACGGCACAATATTCAAAATCTTTAATTCTTGATATTCCTATTCAAGCAACTTCTTTTCAAGTTCTAAATGTTTTTTCACTCACAACTCATTCTTTACTGCTTAAAAGTGAAGGTTTCCTTCACACAGGATTTGCACTCATTTCCTATTTTAATTTGACCTTATTTTGTGGAGACAAGCTGGGGAGAAAATAGAGTAGTAGGACAACTACTTAAATGTGTCCAAACAGATAAAAAAAAGTGTGAGAGGGTTTATTGGAACAGTTTGATTTTTTAAATCACCGCCAGCTGGACATGTCATCTGCTCATTGGCATGAGACAAAACGTTTCCCTTCAGTGGACTGAAAGTTTAAGTTGACATCCCAGCTCCCTGCAGAGAGTGACACTCGTACGCTCAGTATGTGTGTGTGCCTGCGTGTGTAAAGAAAAGTGCACGCACTTACACACATATGGTTGTTCAGCAGGCTCAACATTTGTGAGGTCCTGCTGCGAGAAGACCGGGGGGAAGATGTTTAATTTGCAGTGTCAGTAATTATTTGTGATCTGATCTGTGTTGATCTCAATCTCATCCTCCAGATTTGTGGCATGGCCGTCAGATTCTGTATTGTGTGGGGGCAGCAACACAGAGGGAGGTGAAGAGAGAAAAAGAAACAATGCAAAAGCACCATAGAAAAGGGTGCTGGAGGAAGCGTGGAGATTTAGAGGTTAGAGAGCGTGAATTCTTGTGTACACCAGTAAACCTGGGGTGAGATTACACCTCAGAACCATCTCATAAAAAAATAAGTTTTGACATATTGTTCAAAGTTGTCTGGGCTACTGAGACCCTGTTGTTTCACCCAAATAAGTCAAGGTGTCAGAGTTTTGAAGCTTTGCTGCAAAGACCTGATTCAGTGCTTCACTGTGGTTTATGTGTACACTGCCCTGTCTAACACGTGGAGATGTAGCCACTGGTTCAGAGACACGTGAGTCTACAACCAACAGAGTGTTGGTAGAGACGAGGAGTGTCTTCTCTTCTCTTCCTGACCTTTTTAAAAGAGACGATCATGAATGTAAACCTTTACAACAACAATCAATATATTTTTCCACAGTCTTCAACCTCTGGCTTCCATTAGTGCTCCCATCATCTGTAAAAACGTATGAGATCAATCAAAATGACAATGTAATGTTTTCAAGAAGTTTCCTTGCCCTCTGTTTTCTCATCGTCTGTCCTGTTGTGACTCAGCACATTTTAAAAGGAGGAACAACAAAACAAGTGAATCACAGTAACAATTCTTAGATTCAGTAGGCTATTTGTTAAATTCTTCATAAATGTGTACAGCAAAAGTGCTACTGTGTATTTACTGCTGATGGTCAGTCTAACTGTGGTCAGTACTTACTTACACGTCCCTAATCTGACCTCCTACTATGTTTTGAGTCCTGCCCATGCAAATCTTTCAGGGGCAGGTGGACATAGTGAGCATCACTAACTAACACTTGCACACACAACTTCTCTATTTGCACATGCAGCACACTCTCTCATTGGGCATGGCTGAATTATTGGTTATTTTGGTTTAAAGGGTGGCATCTCCACTCATCCCCCTAGAAATTACCTACTACTTTCTTTAATATAAACTGCTATAAACTGTACAAAAGTATGGAGTACATTTGTAAAGGGAAATCCAAACATTTATTGTATTGATTATCTTCTTCCTTCTCCACAGTGAACAAGCACAAGCCATGGATTGAGACATCTTACCATGGCGTGATCACAGAGAACATGGACACCGTGCTGCTGGACCCCCCTTTGGTTGCTCTTGACAAGGATGCCCCAGTCCCCTATGCTGGTAGGAAACCCCAGGATACTCCAAGTATCCACACACATTTAAAAAGTACAAGATACACACCCCGCACATTCATTGCCTCACACAAACATAGGGGCCAAAACCAGGATGCTTCAGTAATGTGCGCAGGCAACTGTGGCAACGCAGAAACAAATAGTTGATCGGACAGTTCTCTGTACTCAGGATTTGTCATGGTGACTGAATTCCATTTATCAGCCTTAGTGATGTTAAAGCAAATGATTTTCAAAGCAATTCCAGAAATCTGTCTGTCTTTTGATTTTCTTGATAATCGCTCCTGTGACATACACATCTGAACGTCAAACAGTTTGAACTTTAGTGCTCTTTTTCGATATAAAGCTATTAGTCTTGATTTGAAATGGTTTAGATAGGCTGTTTTTTTTGGTTGGATGGAAGACAGTGGATTTATTCAAGCATTCTGAGGTTCGTGAAAATTCATTTATATTTTTATAATCTTGTGACATCCAAGGTTTCGAGTTAAGATGCATCTTTTCACTCCCCCTGACAAGGACCTATTCACGGCGTCTGCTAATTGAAGCCATGTGTCATCCTTTTTCTTTTCCTCGTAAGCTGAGCTGAAATGCCCCATTAACCTGAGCAAAAGATTCCTCTCAAAAGCATCTTTTCTTCCCGAGGGCTGTCAGCTTTTGGTGATGTAAATATTCATTTTCTAGCGACAAGCTTGTCCAGAATATCAAGCAGAGCACACAAGAAACAATGTTTTTGTCTTATTTACAGTGTAGTTTATTGTGCATCTTGGCTCCAGTTGTAAGTCTATATTTATTCATTTCTATTCAGATTGTGCTATTTTGCTAAATCCAGCCTGAGCAACATGTATTCTAAATTAATCTCAGAATTCTTACAGAGCTTAGAAATGTGTACATGTATACATTTACAGACTGTATATAAAGATGCATTAAGTGTCTGCACTTCTTCCGACTAACAGTAATTAAGATAAAATATCACAGATTTGAACTTTGCAATCTTGCACATTTGGAGTATGTGCAGTAGTGATTGGGGGATGGAGCCACAGTACACAACCTCTACCATTTGTGAGTCAGTCTTAGTGGTCAATCGTGAGGTTTCACTTCGTTTTTAAAACTAAACTTATGGGAAATTTAATGCTTGAACAAACATTACTGTGATAAGAACTACCTAAAATGACCAATATCAGCTTAGAGGAAAAAACTAATTTAACGTGTACTTTTTAGCCCATGGCAAGGTTTGCCACAACCAGGTGGCAATTGAGCAATCATGTCATCCATCTTTATATACAGTCTATGGTTGTACATAGGAAACCGTAGGAGTGGGGGGCTTGACTTGGGAATGTCCTGTCTTGTCTTATATAACAGTAGATTTATAGATTCTCTGCATTCACTGAAAGTTTGGTCACTGAAAACTCACTGTAGCTGTTTGAGTAAAAAAAGCTTTCAGAGCCTGGTAGGACAGTAAAAGCTCCCCTGGCACTAAATGAAGAAAAACATCTCTTGGACAACACCTAATGGTTTCCATTAAAGTGGGCACTGGGAGTGTAGCACAGACTGGTACAGTACAGATGTAATAATGGCAGTTCGACATCATTATACACCCGATATCCAGATAATTGGGAGCTGATTATGTTGTCTAACAAGAGCTGGAATCAGGCAGCTGTCACACAGGTACACCAGCACTGACAGTGACAGGAAGGAGAGAGCTGTTATAATTAGACAAAGTATTCGGAGACTCAAAGGCAAACAAAGAGGCTTTTTGGCAGCAAACGCTTAACAGCTCATTATGGCCAAATGGCTCCTATTAATCCCAACGCTGACAACCATGGAAAACTGATGCTCAGCTATTTTTCTTCTGCTGTTTTCATTTTTTGTGTGTGTGTTTTTTCTGCTGATGCCACAGCCACACTTTTGTCTTTTTCAATTTATGTGTGTTCAGTTGTATAAATAATGGGTAAATAGAGCAGACCTTAAACCGTGTGGAATAGCATGGATTCATGTCAAAGGCTCTTTTTTTCTCCCCCTAATTTCTGCCTTAGGGCCTCTAACAGCCCTGGACTGTATACATGCTGTAAAGTGTAAAACAAATACAATGGCATATGTACTGTATATAAAGATTAAATAAATCTTAGGAGGGGTAAAGGAAGATTTTTTATTTAAAATATGGAAAAGAAAGAATATATTAACCAAAAATAGCAACTTCATATTCATTCATCATGTATTCGTATCGCAAAAGTGGAGATGCAAAGATCTTCTTACAGTTATTGTTCTTCTGTAATCCAGTTTTGATTATTTACAGTAATTTATAGCACATAGCTTATCCCTAGTAACCAAAGCTGTGAAGTCTTAATAACACCACGATGAGCAGGCGGACTAAAGAGGAAATTACTTGTGATTGCTTTGCTCCAAGATTAACACATTGTTTGTTGACTTAAGAAGGTCAAGCTTGGTGGAATAGTGGCGGAGGAGGAAAAAGCAGAAAGTGCGCGCACTGTCTGTTGACTGGTGATATTTCTTATAGAATGTTTCCCATTCAATGCGGTTTAATGACTGAAACCCATGCAATAGCTACCAAGGAGACTGTGAGAAACAAATGGCCCAATTTGTCTCTCTTTATTTGTCTGCGTCTACAACTCTCTTATACATTTTTCTTACCATCTCCCCCCTCAGTGCCACAATCCCTTCTTCCTCAGTCCAACTATGCTTCCTCCTCTTCACTATCTTGACACTTTGCTCCCAGCAAGCCCATATCCAGTCACATATGCATTACCAACACACACTCTCATCAATCGTGGTTTTGTTTTACTGCAGAGAAGGAGTGGGCTGTCCTTCTGGCTCCACATTAATTGCATTGTGGGAACACGGACCAGGATTGTTAAGTACTTGCCTGTGTTTTTTCTTTTTCTCGCTTGCACTTTTTTCCCATTGTCCTTTATTCCCTCCACTCTGCTGCTTGTGCTTTCTCTTTGCAAGTCTCATATGTTTTCACTTCTTACACTCACTTCACCTTTTTATCCATATCTTCATTTCTCTGTTCCTTCCCGTCTCCTTGTTCAGTCGTTCTCCTGTGGCACCACATTTCACTTTGATGTAAACTACCCACAGTGGGCCTAACCTCAACATTACACGCTGAGACAGGCATCCCAGAGATTCATTGTTATTGCTGCATGCCATGATGGCATCGTCTATTCCTTACCTTCCCAATCCCCACCCAGCACCTCCGTCAGAGCAAAGGTGTGGGTCGAGGAGTATGTGCTGATCGAGCGTTCTCAATCAAATTAGCATGAGGAATGGTGGCAGTGGACCCTTGGGTGCTGCAAGGCAGGCAGGCAGTTTCATTTGTCTATTCTTTATCTCAAGGCCACAGTCAACAAGCATGGATCCTCCCCATTCATCATGGTACCAGTATAATGCAGTGTTGTACATTGTTTCCTCTGCTGAACTCACACAGGGTAAAGTACTTTGAGAAGTGGAGGAAAATGGAGGTGGAATAGCTGAGGGAAAAGTATGATAGAGAAAGAAAATGAGAGAGGGTCAGCATTAATGGATAAAGGTTTTTGATTATTTTCATTAGAATACCTGTGAAACAACTGACTAGAGACTGTAACTCTTTGCACTTTGTAATGTTAATTTCCTGGGTTAAGTATTGTGGTGTAGAAAATCATATTTTGTAACTGCTTGTTAATGTCCTTATATGACAAAAACAACAAAGTATATATAAATAAAAGCATTTGAGAACATTTTAAAAAGGAAAGGTAGCATCAAGCATAAGTCAACTTTGATTTTATCAGTTGGATTTTATTTTATCCATGACATTAGATTTAATCATAATGATTTAAAATGTCTTCCAAATCCAGATTGTATCTAGATATTATTATAACCTGATGACATTGGACAGATGAGGTGTAAAACAAAACTGAGGGCTGTAAACAAAACTGATTTCCGTTGCAAATTTTTTAAGTAAACATTCTATACCAAAACGCTCTGTTGTTGAATTTTCTGTTGTTAATGCTTCTGATCCAGATAATCTCCTGCTGCGTTTTTTCATATGTGAAAAGCAAAATCCGCCCTATGATCCAGACATTATTCTGAGTTCGTGTCTGGAAGCAGCCTAAACGGAAAAGGGTAGTAGATAAAGAAGTGAAATTGATAACATGATTGTTTCATAGCATTTTTTTCCACAAATTGTAGTTATAGATTTGGCTGTGTCGTTGTGAAATGTCGTCACACTATACTAGCAGTCCGTTTCACTTTGCTAAATCACTAATCTACCCGCAGTCACTACTTGAGAGGGAAACTGCACCGAAACGACAAAAGCATAGGTGCTAATTAAACTGCAGGACCCAACAAAGCAGAAGCTGTGACTCACTTCAAAGGTGACGAGGAAGGGGACCAGGGAAGGAGAGAGACAAAAAGATGTTAGGAAAAGGCAGAGGTGGGGAGAGAGGAAGAGATGAAAGAGAGAAACAAAGGTAGATCCAGGAAATGGGGATATGTAGAGCGTGTGTGAGGGAGACGGGGAGAAAGAGAGAGACAGTGAGGGGGAGAATAGAAAGAGGATGTGATGGATCATCAAAGGATAGGCATGGATATTGAAGGGACAGTCTGATCAAACCACGCAGGTGCCTGACCGTCTGCCCTGAGGGAGAAGAGGAACATATCACTTTGCCTGCCTGCCTCTTTCTTCCTCTCTCCCACTACCTCTCTCTCTCCTTCACCCTGTCCTCTTTGCCTTTGTGCTGCTGTTAAATTTCTGCAGTGGGTGCTTAGTCGTGAGGTAATACTGAGGCAAGTCTGAAACATGAAACAAATGCAGAACATCAAAGATCTTGTATGCTGTTTAGAGGACTGACACCTACCTACAAACCAGATTTACAGCCCTGCACGGCTGATAGGAGCATGTTATTTGGCAGTATTGTTTTAGTTAACCATAACCCCTATAATAAATTATACCTTCCCATTGTTATTATATTGATATTCAATAACTAATACTTGTGT